TAATGAAATGTGAAATATATCAGCCGGTACTTGAGAAGAGTTATAAAGAAAATCCCTACTTGTTTATTTTCTGCGCCGAAATATCGCAGCGGTTTGGTTTACATTTGATTAGCCGTGTCTAGTGGAATGTAATGCCACACCATTTTTAAGAAATACTACTTTTGTGCGATTACGACAGCAATTTTCAGTTTTATTTTTAAAATCGTATATTAAGTGGAGATTTATATAGCAAAAGCCATTCATTATTATTTAAAAATGGCAACCCCTAAATAAAATAAAAGTTCTAAGCGCTATTCCTACGCTTTCCTGCCGTTGTTATTCATATCGAAAAAAGGTATTCTGTCATTTGTTTGTTTCAAATTTTCTATTGAAAATACTTAGTTTGGTATTTTTTTTTTTTTTCGCAAAATCAAACAGAGCATCATATTTCACATATAGAACCATACTTCCACCCACCTCCCTTTACCCCCTCTCTCTGTATTCATCCATGCACATGGCAAGAATTCTTCGTGCTGCACTATCCTCATACGAATGGATGTTTGCCCCGTTCATGTCTGTCTCTCAGTTACAACCGAACAACATTACAACAATCGCAGTCATTTTCAGTTTTGTTTGAATGAAAGCGACGAAGCGCGATGCGATATGATGTCAGCAACGCAGCAACAAAAACATGATTTACAATTGAATGGAATAGAAAAAGGCAAAAAAAAAAACATTCACATCCGCTAAATATGAAACTTTTAAGTAAACAAATTTGGAATGAAAGCAGAGTAGCAGAACGCCCAAGCGGTAGGGTATTGTTATACTGCGGCTCTCTGGCTGGCTGCTACTGGGGCTTTATGGACTTTATCACCTTTTAAATGGAAAACATTAAATGCACAGTATCGTATGAATTGTTTGTAGGAAAAAAAAGCAGGTCCATAAAAAGTTTGAATGTGTGGGGGGTTACTGGAAACATATACCACTTTTAAATTGTTTAGAGTTCCTTATATTATCCAAGATATAATTTTCACAACAAACATCCATTTTTGTGCCAAGTTGAAATCCCTACATGCATCAAGTTGTCTCACATTACATAACAGCAACTGAATTTTGTCCTCTTCTTTTTCAGATGGTTTCTGCAGTTTTCGCCAAACATTTCCGGAATGGTGTGAAGATGATAGTCTACAAAACAAAGAAATGGAATCTAGTCGTAGCACCCAGGCAGATCAATTGATGGGTTTAAGGTAGGTTCGCATCATCATTATTTTAGACATTTGTTTAATTGAAAACTTTGTTTTCCCTTTCAATTAGGTCTCTACGTATATCCACACCACATTCCGATTCGGCCTGCAGCAGCTCGGCGGAATCAAGCGATTGTGAAGGCACCTCACATCATGGTTTGAATGAGGCCCCGGTTGAAATAATTCCGAATCTATTTTTAGGAAATGCCATGCACAGTAATGATGCCAGAGCCCTACAAAAATACAATATTAAGGTAAGGAATACAAAAAAAGAAAAAATAAACAATATAAATTCAAAGGAATATTTATGAAAATCCGGTAGCATCACTTGCATTAAAGGCACACAGAAATACATTTCGAATTTCGAAATAACTTTCCTTATAAAGTATACAAAAAATGATAGCAAAGTAGCCATTCCGAAGTCCTGCAGTGCAATTCTCTAACTACTTAACGACATATGTTTTGCTCCAGAACCTGCAAGAATCTACTAGTTTTGCAATTTTTTTTCGATATCATAAAGGAACATTTGGTTATCGCAGTTAAATTTTTTTAAATTCTTGCAGGTCTGGAACAAAGCTATAATTAACAGCGATTTTTCAAATCGCATATATTTTCGGTAATTAATGAAATTTTTCGGAGAGTAAACGACGAAGTCAAAGTTGTTACTACGACCTACAATAAGGCAACAATGTTGTCAAATTCAACTCCTTTTTCATACGAAAATCTTGCATTGAAAGTTACCGATTTTTGCGGAGAATTCCCCACTGAGCTGCATGTATTTATTATTCATTTGAACACGATAAATCCAAATAGATTTTTGATACCTTCTCATCACAAATTATCTGAATTTTATTAGAAGCACAATTCGTCGAATTCTCCATTGAGAAATTTCCATGCCCAATCACTTCTTATCAATAGAAAATATCATATAAGAAAATCCATCCAAAGAGAAAAAATCTCCACAGAAAAATACAAGTATTTAAAAAATATCCTCCTATAAAACGTCCTGAATTTAAATTTACTAATTTTACTTCTCTTTTCCATTTTGCAGTACGTTCTAAATGTAACTAAAGATCTTCCAAATGTCTTCGAAGCTTCTGGCGGCATACAATATCTACAAATACCCATAACCGATCACTACTCACAAGATTTGGCGATGCATTTCCCCTCGGCAATACAATTCATAGGTATGTGTGTCTGCGTTTTCCCTCATTCATTTCATTCTTTAATAAACCATTCTCTTTCAATTTTGCAGAGGAAGCTCGTTCCAAAAATTCGGCCGTGCTGGTTCACTGCCTGGCTGGCGTTTCACGTTCTGTTACCGTAACGTTGGCCTACTTAATGCGTACACAAGCTTTAAATCTCAACGATGCTTTTACTCTGGTGCGAGATCGGAAACCAGATGTATCGCCAAACTTCCATTTTATGCAGCAGCTGCATTCGTTCGAACGTCAGCTACGTTTGAACACCAACGAGGCCATGGATCAAAGCGGCAGCGGTGTGGGAGTAAATGTCATAAATACCGACATTTCCATGGGTCCTTGTGGTTCATCGAAATTCTCCTGTAATTGTATATCGACCGATTGCAAGTGCATACAATCGGGTGGATATATAGCCCAGTTGGCCAAAGCCGCTACCGGAATTTCACCCGATTCCGGTATTGAATTTGACCGATGGACACCGTCATCGGATACAGGACTTAAATGAGATCAACTTGTAGGAAAAAGTTTTGTACTGCCACCCACCAGCAATGAGCCACCACAGTCGCTAAATGCCGACAATATGTCACCGGCTTCCACCAACTCTTCCTCAACATCGACCACAACCACCATCGAGGCGGTGTCCGTGGTTGAAGTTAACAAGAAGCCCAGCGCCGAAGAGTGAGTGCAATGGACAAACCGCAAACAGGACGTACAAAACCTTTTCCTACTCGTTTTAATCTGCCACAGCACAAATTTTTTGTCTCCCTCCCCCTCCCCATCATCTTCCTTTTTCCTATTCTATTGTTTAACCAAAACTTTAAGATCCTATTTTTTAAAAACAAAATAATTGTATATTTTATTACACACCTGAAAATATATATTTGCGTTTAATAAGTTTCCACAAAAAAGCAAACGGAGGAAAAAGCCTCTGCCACATACATAATTAGTTGAGTTGTATTCTTGAAGAAACAAAAAAAAAAAGAAAGAAAACACCCAAGTGTTGAATTGTTATTAAAATGTATTTAATTTTAAGAAAAAACATTGAATGAAAACAAACAAAAAATCAAACCAGAAAACCCCTCCTACCCTGAAAACACATTCTAACTTGTAAAACATTTTGAAATGTTTACGAAAAGCAAATAAAAAAAATAAGAAATATTTAATTAACTTGTGTATGTACAACGTACATACACAACACCATACTATTTAAGTCATTTATAATAATTAATATTATTATTATTATAATTTAACTGAATGGAAAACGCTAAACCAAGTTATTACCACAACAACAACAGAAACATGAAAAAGAATATTGTAATTTATACATAAGTATTCAAGAACCATGTAATAGTCCATATATACATATATTTATAAACAACAACAAGAAAACTGAAAAATGAAAGCAAAATATTAAAAAGAATTACTAATTTTTTATGAAATACAAAATCATTAAAACCTGAACATTTATTAAACAAAAGAAAATAAACTGTATATTTTGAAACAAAACAAGCAAATTTACTTTTTTTTTTTTTTTTTTTTTGAACACCCTTTCTTGGGTTTGAGATCAAGTTTATTTTTCGCCCCAGTGGTTAGTTATGTGTAGAAATTTTAAAATAGAAATAATTTGTTATTCAATATTGGAAGGTGTTAAAATATATAACGACTATGACGCATGATGTCAATGACCCATGGATTTCGTTTTGATAACTGCCTCAACAATATTTGAGCTCCAAAGAGTCATTGAAGTTATGAACTTTGAAAAATGGATAAAAGTTATTTTTTTTAGAAAATTGAAAATTTTAATTGAGATGAAAAGAAAATTTTGTATGGAATATAAGTTTTGTGGAAAGTAGATTTCTATGTGGATATGCCATATTCCAAAGAAGTTGTTTATTTATGGAAGCCAATGATTGCGAATAATAAGGTGAGGTGATTCCACTTTCAGTTAACAGCTCACATTTATATCACCCAACATTTGGCTCATATATATCACATATTTTATACGGCTTGATTTACTTATCCAGAAACCCAAAAACAAGGTTGTTGTTATTTGTTCAAAGAATACACTTTGTTCAAAGAATACAATTTTTGAGTGCATAAAATTTTCTTGCTTTCTTCTCTAGTGTTTATAAACATAATACCAGTGTAGTTTTGAGCCAAAACATTGCGAAATCCCCCCATGAGATTAGCACGCAACGAAGGTTTTTTTCTATAAAGATATAAATTAAACTGTGCAAATTTTCAAATAAATATAAACATATTGGATGAAAGAAAAATAACATATATGTATATTTGGAATTTGTACAAAGTACCATCAGGGCGTTAGAACAAACAAAATTAAAATATTTTATTAAGAAAGGCTGTGTAAAATAAGTAGATGCAAATCCAGACAAACAAAACCTGAACAAAGAAAATAACATTTCATACAAAAAATAAAATAAAGAAACCGGCAAACGGATCTAAACCACAAACCTAAGACTTACATGCGGATGTATGTATGTATGTCTCCGAAGGCAAATGTCTAATACCACCTCTCTAACAATTTAAGTCAAAACAAATGAAAACAAACAGAAACTGAAACGCATATTATTTTTTATTGAAACCATTTACATTGTGGCAAATGGTCATAAATCAATCTCAACAGGAGGACATTTGAATAGGCTAGAGTATTTAAAGAATGTAAAAAGAAAAAAAAACAGAAACACCCATATATTTTAAAGCAGAATAATAACTATAACCAGTGTTTTTGAAGTAAATTATGTGTATGAATTGCTAAATGGTTTTTTAGATGATAACGAGGAGTCTGGAGTGTTTTTAAACAAGAAAAATTTTGTGTAACCCTTAACCAAAAATCAAGTTTTTTAAAAAGAACACAAACAAATGTTGATGTTGAGAACAAATTTTTAAGTAAAACCACAACCTCAATCCTTTCATGAGACCCCTTGAAACCAGGACAAATATTTTGAAAAGAAAAAAGTAATAAACGTTTTTAAATAACAAACAAAAAATGCCAAATTCAGAAACAAAAAAAGAAAATGAAACTTAAAAAAGCAAAATGCATATTAATAAATTTTGCACATTAGTAAATTTGTAAAAGGTAAAAATATTAAAAACAATAAAAAAACAATTTTTGAAAACCATTTGCTTACGTTGTAATTTTTTTCTTGCTAATGAAATACCCGCTTTTTTCGTACAATGGACAGAAAACTGTTTTTATTCATTATTGCTTTTTTCCAATGACCGTAAAATGGAAAGCAATGACAAACAGACACAGAAAACAAATTTAAACAAAGATATTTGGTGCCAAATCGGTAGGGAGTATAAAAATGATAAATTCGAAAAATAAAACACTTAAAAAATACTGCACACACAGACAGAAACACAGTATATCGTAAACCTAAAGCATTAACTTAATGAGTAAGTCTTTGGAACATAAATACATTAAATTTTAAATGCGTTTATCTAAGGACAACCTGCCCTAGCTATAGGAGCTGCTACCATTATTTAGTAAAATATTGTCATTGTTCGTTGTGGCATGGGCAGTCGCGGTTTAGAGACCTTTGTTGAAGTATACCTTGGCAGGTACATTTCCTTTAGTGTTTTCTAACATTTCCTCATAGAACTCCGGTTCAAGGCGTTTAATGGTCGATGTGTTCAGAGAGCTAAAAAAAGTGGAAGAATTCGGTTATGGTCTATGGCAAAATATGTTGCAGAGGAAAATACATACCAAGTTTGTGGGAACAGAGCACACGCAGTTGGCACCATAAAAAGTAAGCTGAAAGATTTGAATGTTAAAATATTTAAACAATGAATAGACAATTTATTGAAGTTCGTCGTTGTATCGTTATTCCTGATATCGGACGAAAGGGGCAACAGGCCTACGAAACCTAAATGCAGGAGCACACTTTTAGGCGCTTTTTTAAATGTAATGTTAATGTATCAAATTTTAGTGTCAATGATATGCAATCTAGTATTGAAACCCTTTATTCTAGATTAGACGCCAAACTTGCACAAATAAGTGGACCTAGAGCAGCTCTGCTCAACAGCAAGAGTACGCTTATCAGTAAAACATAATCAGTAAAACATAATAACATACAAACATAAACATAATTTTTGCTGGTTGATGTACTAAAATATGGTTTGGAGCACTCAAGCCAAAATTTAATTTGAATTTTTTAGCTGTCGCAATTCTATCATTAATTATCAATCATTAGCTTCGAGACAGACATTTTAGCTCTTGTTTAGTAAGATACAAGCTTTGATATCCTGTCCTGAAAATTCTAACTTGATCAGTTGACACTTTTTTCAATCGGCAGTATGTGTGTAATTATTCAACATCTAGAGAACAGACATATCGTTAAAGCTATTAGACCAGATAGTAAAAAAGAGATACTCTTATAAAAAGGTGTAAAATAATGATAAGCTTTGTAAATAAAGAACTACAGATTCCTAACCACAAATAATCACAATGTGATATGAACTTCTATGAAAATACAAAAAACTGATAAGCATGGCAAATAAATATTAGATTAAACTAAAATGTTTTACTCACAAACATCCAACCAAGGCCGTTTGGAAAGGTGCATTAATCCATTGCATACGTTTGTAAATTGGCAACTTTTCGACACGTTCCATAATGAAAGGCAATATTAACATACCCGGCGCAGCCATGGTAATACGTGAGAAGACTACTTGGCTGATGCCCTTCACGGCAGCCGTACGACTTTTGCCCACCACATTTCCATTTTCATCTTTTACCTCTATGCCATTGATAATTTCATTTTGACGCATTAGCGGGATATTGACACAATTTGCGGCAGCCACTGCTGCGAAGGGTACAAAACGCTGCGAAAGAAAAATGAAGTTTGATTATTTCATCTAGACGAAATTATATTTTATACAAACATACCTGGAATATGGGAGTTGCCTTCTTGGTCCAATAGTTCTTTAGACCAATGGCTGCAATTAAAGCTGAACTGGTGGCCGAAACATATGAAACGCCCAGCTGCGTCACCGTGGTTGGCGAGTTTGCATTTCTGTTGGTGTAATTGACAACAGCATTAAAAGATTGATTTATGAATTGCCACAGGACGACAGCAGGAACAGTGCGATAAAAAGCCAACATGCCACCAGTGATGAGCATACCGCCAGGCACCTATTTAATGAAATAGTAAAATTAAAATCTTTCCTACAATTTACAATAGAATTCGGGCTAAATGTAATCGGTTTGTTGGGTATCTAGTTGGCAGTCATTCAAAATCTAGTATTTACATGAGATACCTATAGATAAACATTTTGAAAAGTGAACATCTGTTTGTTTTAATCTCTGCTATCACGCGACTATCAAACGTGCCACACATCATCATTACAAAATAGACACATATATAGCCCATTAATGAGGATTTGTGAATTTGTTCATTCCCAATGAATCAACAATGACGCTAGATAATTGGGTAACAATGTACATTCATCAAGGCTTTTTTGTGCTTACTTGGAAACTCATGCGGCCACAGAAGTTTTGTAATTCTCCAGTGTCTGGGTGGAAAGCTGAATTATATAATTTCATGGCATATTTCACTTTGTCGGGAGTTGTGTCTAGGGCTTCTCCTTTACGATAGGCATCGACTAGACTCTTGGCTTGTAGTAATCGATCGCTGGACACAACAACTGTTCTTGGATCTGTCATCCAGGCGAAATGTTGGAAGCGCCCCTTAAAGGTGGACAAGTCATAGAGTGGCTTGTCAACATCAATTCGCTGTGCTAAGGCTGGCGGAAAGGAAAGATGAATGGAAGGATTACCAAGATTGTTTTACTGTTTACTTCACTTTTCTTACTTTGCATTTTTATTGCTGTCGGTTTTGGACTTGGAGAATTACGTAAGTTTAATTGTTCGTGAATTGTTTTGGACTCTCACAGCAACAATGGATATTATTGCAGGCAATGAGTGGTAGTGCGACGAACAGACTAATGGCACGGTTTCTTCTTGTGTTTGTCCCAACAACACACAACAGCAAATTTAGAACTGCAAACACAATACTGTCCGTCTTCTGTTAAAAAATAGCAGGAAAAAACGAAAACGAAATTAATATTCAAATATATGTAAGTACCTGTGCAATAGACACCAACAGCAATAAAGCTCGTCTACTTCAAACAAAAAATTAACACCTGTTTTAAGCAAAAAATAACAAAAACATGTTCTGATTTGGCTTACATATATTTTAGTATTGACCTGTGAATATATCAATCAGAGTGTAGATGCTAAAACAAAACAAAATCTTCAAATATTCTTGCCGAAGATTTGTTTGGATACCGTCCAACAAATCGGTTTTATTTTATTTTTGCACGATTTAATTATATATGATTAATTCAAATGAAGTAACGAGCATAACTACATTTAATTTTTATTTTACAAATCAATTAAAGTTTTATAATATTAAAAAAACGCGAAAATACGTAAAAATCTATAGCGAACTTACATCTTGGGGGCTCCTCTTTTCCGGTGTGAATGTTTTATTTTCATTCATTGGTTTGTATTCCAACGCTTTGTACGGCGCACTGTCCAACAAATCATATGCTCACAGTGTTTTGATATAGGAAAAAAGAAAATTAAAATTTATTTCTATAGAAAATTATATAATTTTTAATTAATTTCCTCTGAATATGACATGTTCAGTTTCAAACAAGGACCAAGAAATTAAGCAACAGCTTTCGAATATATTCACCAATTTTTCAGAACCATTTCTTTCATTCAGGTATTATTAAATAAATGTTGTTGGCATGATGTAGCTTGGCCTAGTTGGAGATTCACGTACGAAAGAAGATAAATAATAACAGACTGACATCCGTAACAATATAGCTTTCATACACTGTACCACACTCTCAGCATTGTAATCGTTTTAGGGATACATAGTGAATTAATCGTGTAGGCGAAAGTAAAACCGCATAGCCCTAATATATGCTATTATTTGGCACAACTGCAAATATATATTGAAAGTTAACCAATAGTATATTATGTCATGTTATACAAATTTTGTGATCTTTGTCTTTTAGTTTGTTTATAAAATTTTCACTAGCATCCATACCCATACCCATCAAGATATTCGTTACTTTGAAATAACTCGAGATAGGGATACATATGTCGACTTTCGAATAATCGATTGGTGCAGCCGATTTGCCATGTGTAATCGATAAAATGGTGATAAGACAGTAATCTATTTTGTTACCCCCGTTTTTGAATCAAAACAAACCGTTCCAGTCGCTACTCAACAATTGTTGATGCTAGACTGCGCTTATAACTCCGTTTCGCTTTGCGTTGCAAAAACAACACATAAACAAACAAAAACAACATACACACATACATTCGTTTTGCTTAACGACATTTTTATTTCTTTTTTTTTTCTTTGTGTCTTCCATTAAAAAAATTAAATTTGAAGCCATTTCAACCTTTGATTTTTCAAAATGGATGGGGATCCGCCACCCCAGCCGAAACCACTCTGGGACCCCAATAAACGTCGCGCAAATATGATCTCAAATTTAAACAAAAAATTTATAAATAATGAAGGAGAACCTATTAACAACACAAATATGTCACAGGCTTCATCCAATGAGTCTGAATCTACACAAAAATTCGATTCAAACTATAACGCCATGAAAACCAACACTTTTTATCCACAACACCACCCAGGGCCATTTTATGTTATGGTTACTTCGGAAACACCCATAAGTTCCAGAAGAAAAAACTGTGAATTACACCTATATGCCCTTTTTCAGAAGATTCAAATGCCCACTACATATGTTTGCAAAAACGTTGGCTACAACACCTTCCGCCTTACTTTTAATAACTGCGGCTTGGCAAATTCTTTTGTACAAAACAAAAGACTAGAAGAAATAGGTCTAAAAGCTGAAATCCCAGAGCGATTTATACAAAAATTTTATATTATTAAAAATGTTCCTAAATCAATTGTATAACCATTAAAAAATTCAATTGAAGAAAATAATGACATTGATGTGATATCAGTTTACCGATTCACAAGAAAAGTGGAAAATGATTTAATAGAAGAGACTGAAACGGTCAAAGTAGGAATTATATGCGATGGAGTTCCTCAGTACATATTTATGTGTGGTACTAGAGTCATACCCGACCTATATGTTCCCCCAGTACGTTTGTGTAAAAATTGTGGACGCCTTGGCCACATCGCTGTACGTTGTAGATCTACAAAACGTTGCCTTGACTGCGGCAAATTGATAGTCTGCCCAAATCAATGCAAGGAACAAAAATGTAAAGAATGCCTGTCTACCACCAAATGCAAAGAAGAATGCAATTTACCAAAATGTATCCTATGCAACAGAGATGATCACAATGCTATGGATGAAAAAATATGTCCAAGATGGAAAACTGAAAGGAACATAAAATCAATCATGACTCTTTCCAATTTGAGCAGGAAAGAGGTTATACAAAAGTATCCCGAAACCCAAAATTATTATGATATTTTGGCAGACAATAATTACAATTCCAATTTTCCTCCAATTAAAAAAACAACCAATCAACCAAAAATTAATTTTAATGAAGAAATCAACAAAAGGATTACGAAAATAAAATACAGCAAAGTAGCGGCTCCTCGTATAAAGTCGAATCATCCCGTTGCTAGTCCGATAAATATTACGCCTTCAGTACCTGTGTATGAGTATTCATCATCTTCCAAAGTTTCGGAGCTGGAAAAAACCATGTCAGTATTTACAAAGCAAATGTCTCAATTACTCACCTCATTGAATTGCGCGGAAGGCTTGGATATCCTAGAAAACTTCAGGAAAACATTGTTAACTCGTACTGAAAAAAATACAAAAAAGATAGTAAATCAATATGAAAACAGTCAACTTCCAACATCTAGTTCTTCCCAAAAAACTAAAACAAACATAGATCCATGAATATTTTACAACATAATATACAAAGTCTTAATAAGAACAAGCATTATCTTGAATTTTATTTGAACAAATTCAATATAGACATCTGTGTCTTAAGTGAAATTTTTAACATAGATGAATCTCAAAATAACACAAATATACATAATTATAACATAGTGTCAAAAAAGAGAAAAGACAATTATGGCGGCGTTGCCATACTCTTAAAAAAGAACATCAAGTTTAAAAAAATTAAATTCCAAACAAATTTGGACATAATTATTTGCCAAACAACAAATATCACAAACAATCTTACGATAGTATCAGTATATTTTCCACATTCCATTAAATCCTGCGAAATAAAACAAGAGCTCGAAAGACTGATATCATTTCTTGAATTACGAACCGATGTATTAATTTGTGGTGATTTCAATGCAAGACATACATCTTATGGAGACTCGTTTAATTCACACCGAGGTAACATTGTGAAAAGTTTCTTCGATTCATCTAACTTTTATCATCTTAATAATGGTCACTTTACTTTTAAAAAACGTCTAAGTGATACCACTGGCTCTGTTTTGGACCTTTCTTTCACGAATACGGCTTTAGACACCACATGGAAAGTACAACCGTGCACTATTGGGGGAAGCCATCATTATCCCATAGTCATTAACGTTGGCATCAGTAAAATTAAAAACCAAAAGTTTTTAGCTAAAAATAAACTATTGAAATCACTCAACAAAACGAATTTTACCCCCTCTTTTGATGAAATACATTCCACTTTCAATGATGAAATTAGAAAATCAACATACACCATTAATACTAAAAAGTCTCCCAAAGTGTGGTGGGATGCCATTGTGGAAAAAACACACAGACTCCAACTTGCTGCACAAAAGACTTATGATATGTTCAACAATAATGTAAATGCTTCAAATTTAATTGAAGCAAAAAAAGCTTTTCAAAATGCAGTGAAATTCGCCAAAAATAAAGCCTTCAAAACAAGACTCCATGATCTCAATAAAGAACCAAATCCAAAAGCACTATTCAAACTTGTTCGAGGATGTAAAAACTCTTCTACAACTATATTTCAAAATAAATGGTCATCTGATAATAACAAACAATTTTTAATTCATCTAAGGGATCAAGTCCCAAATAATTCTCCAGTATTAATTCCGATTACCAGTTCCAACTTCACCGATGCCTTTTCCACTGACGAATTCAACTATGTTCTAAACAAAAAGAAAAAACCATCTGCAGCAGGTATAGACAGGGTAACATATGAAATGGTTCACAATTTGTCAGAATCAGCAAAACAAAATTTACTGAAAGCCATGAACAATGCATGGAAAGAGTGCAATTTCATGATGGAGTGGAGGAAAATTAAAATTGTTCCCATTCCGAAAAGAGACAAAGACTTGGATATCTATACAAATTACAGGCCAATTGCTTTAATATCGGTTTTCGCGAAAATTATTAACCTAATGGTGAAGGAAAGACTTCAGAATTTCTTGGATCAGAACAATATTTATCCACAAAACACATATGCATATAGGAAAAACCTTTCTGCCTCTATGTGCATAAACGATTTACTATACACAATTAACTGTCAAAAAGAGCAAGGTGATAAAGTCATCATTGTATCATTAGATATTAACAAGGCGTATGAATGTGTCAAAATAGAATTGCTTTTTCGAATCCTAAACGAGATTTCATGTCCTACAGACATTTCCAAGTGGATTATTAATTTTCTAAAACATAGAATTTTAGTTATGGGCAATGAAAGCCTGGAAATTTATAATGGTCTTCCTCAAGGCAGCTGTTTAAGTCCCACTCTTTTTAATATATACACACTTGGCTTACATGGTATAAATAATCATCACACGAAAATATTCCAGTTTGCGGATGACTTTATAATATTGTCAGCACATAAAGATTTTGATACTGCTAATGAGATCCTTCAGACAAAAATGAATGAATTTTGTGACATTTTAAAAACGCTAAATCTTTCTTTCAACACTGATAAAACCGTGGCCATGTATGTAGCTAAAGGTGCCAGGAAAATACCAAAAATTACACTTCATGGTGTATCAATCAACGCAGTGGAAAAGATAAAATTCCTAGGAAGACACATCAAAAATAGTTTGACTATTAAGGATCATTATGAGGATGTAATCAAATCGTGCAATACAACTTTAAATGGTTTAAAAATGATAAACTCCCTTAAAGGCGGAATTCACCCCAAAATATCCATAAATTTGGCGAAATCACTTCTGTTCTCTAAATTGGAATATTCTATATCATCTATGGCGCACATGCCCAATCATGTTAACAAAAAACTGACTACATGTCAAAACAAAATTTTAAGGAAAAGCCTGGGGCTAACGCCTTCGACGCCTGTTCACGTAATATACGCTTTAGCAATTGTTCTGCCTCCAGAATTTCGTTCGCAATACCTTGCTGCCAAAGAACTTTTAAAATTTAAAGTATTTCAAATGAGTACCTATCAAAAACTCACGTCACACCCATCAAACAAAACAAGTCTCGGCATGATATACAACAAATTTAAAACCATATTCGATAATACAAAATTATGTCCATCCGAACCCCCAGGGCAAAAAATATTTTTTTTTATGAATATGTTTAATGCACCGAAACAATCACAAGGAAAGGAATTCTTCAATAGTATCTATCTTCAGCAACTTAATCAATTCAAATCGAATGGAACATCTGT